ACCTTTAACACAGACTGATAAGTTTCAAACATACTATACCAATAAAGGGGTAACCCCAAACAGTTGTCAACTAGTAAGTGTATCTCATGACTTTATTCAAAAAGAACTAAGCAGGTTAAACCCAACTAAGAGCACAGGCCCTGATAACATCCTGTCTAAGTTCCTAAAAGATGGTGCTTCTGAACTGTCAATCCCTATTGCTCGCATAATAAATCTATCAATCACCATTAATACCATACCGGAGGGGTTCAAGGAGGCCAGAGTTACTCCTATCTTCAAGAAAAATAGTAGGTCTGATGTCAGCAACTACAGGCTTGTTAGTACACTCAGTATAATATCCAAAATTCTAGAGAGGGCGGTGTACTCTCAAGTAGTTAAGTACCTTAATAACAACAACATTCTCCATAGCTATCAATCAGGCTTTAGAAGATCTTACTCAACCGACACCTCCCTAATTAATCTGATGGATTACCTGAGAACTGAAATGTCAAAGGGGAACCTCATAGGTATGGTAACCTTAGACCTGCAAAATGCCTTCGATACTGTCAACCACAATATATTATGTAAGACACTTCAAGCTATCAGTATAGGTTCTGTAGACTGGTTTAAGTCCTACCTTAGCAACAGGAGACAAATTGTCAAAATCAACAAAATGGAATCAGAATCCCTGCCGATAGCATGTGGAGTTCCCCAAGGTAGTATTCTGGGTCCCTTATTATTCTTATGTTATGTCAATGACATGCCTATCAGTGTCAAGTGCAAACTCCTACTGTATGCAGATGACAGTGCCCTGTTAGTGTCAGGTAAAGACCTACAAGATATAGCTAATGTTTTTTAAAACTGGAACTGGAGTCCTGCAGCAAATGGTTAGTAGACAACAAACTATCATTACACCTCGGGAAAACTGAAGCCATTCTCTTTGGCACGAAACAAACTGAGAAGGGTAAATAATTTTAATGTCCAGTGTAATGGGGAACCCATCACTTTGGTTTCATCAGTAAAATATCTGGGAATCCCCTTTGACCCATGCATGTCAGGAGAATTGATAGGGAACAGTGTAGTAAAGAAAGCGAATGCCAGACTGAAGTTCCTGTATAGACAAGCACAGTGTCTACCTACTGAGGCTCGCAGGACCCTATGTCTAGCCCTTATACAATGCCATATGGATTACGCTTGCTCTTCATGGTACTATGCCTTGACAAAAAAACTGAAAGATAGATTGCAAATCACCCAGAACAAAATCGTAAGATTCATCCTGGGGCTGGGACCAAGAGAGCATGTAGGCCAGGATCAATTACAGCAGTTGGATATGCTGAATATTGAAGACAGAGTAAAACAACTGAAGCTAAATCATGTTTATAAAATTGCTCACAAACAGTGTCCAGAATATCTTGCTGTCAATTTTGTCAAGGTTGGGAACCAAAGCAATCATAGTACTAGGGGGGGGAGAGCGCAACTTTGTAGTACCCACAGTCATTGGCCAGGCTACAAACACCTTTTATTGTACAGCAATAAAGGAATGGAACAGACTACCCACACATGTCAAAACCAGTCATAGCATGAACCAGTTCAAGAAGAGTGCCAAAAGGTGTCTGATGAATGTAGCTACAGAAAGGGAGGGGAATGATTTTCTATTTTTTAGCTAGCATACGTGTAAATTTTACCTTATTCCTAGTAATGACCCTCGTATTGTAGATAGTCTTTTTAGTATGATAATAAGATGTTATCTTCATTATAGAATAATAAGAAAATATTATAACCTTTATATTATAATAATGAGGTAAAAGGACCCCAATGGAAATAAGTCACTCTGTGACTTTTTTGGGTTATCCTAGGTTCTCTACACATATGCTGCTATGTATGATAATTCTATGTAACTGTATTTGTGTATACCTGAATAAACTTACTTACTTACATAGATTATCATACATAGCAGCATATGTTTGGAGAACCTAGGACAGCCAAAAAAAAGTCACAGACTTATTTCCATTGGGGTCCCTGTACCCTGTACCATATGGTATAATGTACCATATGATACAATGTACTACTGTATATGGTACCACTGTACCATATGATACCATTGTATGACATGGCACCATTGTACTATATGGTACCATTGTACCATATGGTACAATGGTACCATATGGTACAATGGTACCATATGGTTCAAAACCATAGGATTCCTCTTCAGATCCACTTCCATCAGTCTTAGAACTGTAAGTTGTGAAGAGGAGAGTCAGAATTCGCCAGGAGAGTGAGTGGGGAGTGAGAGCTTCCTTGCCGCCAGGCAAGATGAACAAAGCTACTTTGGCGGCATTCCCACAATGCCATGCAGGCGTCCATATTTTTTCTATAGTGCGCACACTGACCACACAGACCTATTCTCTCAGATGTAGACCTACCAGCCTTCTTGCACTAAATTTGACGCCGCTAGAATTTTGGCGTAGATGTACGGTTTGGACCCTCAACATAAAGCCATAGATCTATGGCACGGACCCTGAAAGGGTTAATGGAATGTGTCTTGAGCAGATCTCAAGAACCAAAGAATTCATTTTTTCAAGGCAAATGTTTGGATCCGTGTTGTTTAAGATATCTTCACAGCTTGTTTCATTTAGGACATGGTTTACTTGATCCCATTGTATGTTTTTGTTATTGAAATTGAATTTCGTGAAGAGACCTTTATGGCTACTCACATTTTGCTGGTCCGGAGCCCTGTGCATACATGTCTGTACCTCTATTATGTTGTGATATGATTGTCATTGTTAGTGAAGATGAAGTCCAGCAGATTTTCTAGTCTTGTAGGCTCTACTATTTGCTGGTTTAAGGCAAAATTGGTGCAGAGATTTAATAGTTTGTGTGTGTGTGAATTTTCATCTGAGCTGCCTCCCGGGGTGATCTCTGCTAAAACATTGTTTGCTATGCTCCTCCATTTTAGGTGCCTCAAGTTGAAATCTCCTAGTAGTGAGATGTTTGGGGCCAGAGTTAGGAGATTTTCCAGACAGTGGTCAATTTTCTCAAGCTGCTCCTGGAATTGCTGGGAAGTTGTATCTGGTGGCTTGTATACTACCACAATAACAAGGTTTTGGTTTTCAGTCTTTACCTCCAATTCTTCAGCTACATCATTTGAGGTGTTTAGTAGTTCTGTGCAAATGAGCGACTCTGTGACATACAGGCCAACCCCCCCTTGTTGCCTGTTTAGTCTGTCACATCGGAACAGATTATAACCTGGGATCCATATTTCGTTGTCATGATGATCCTTTACATGAGTCTCTGTGAATGGTGCAAATGTTGCATTTGACTCCATGAGCAGTCCCTTGATGTAAGGAATTTTGTTGTTTTTTGACGGCTTTAGACCCTGTATGTTTGCAAAGACAAATGTTGTATTGGTGGAATTTAGGGGGTTTGGGGTGGGGTTTGTGTGTGTGTTTTTTTTTTTAATACATCAGCCATTTCCCACCAAGGCAGGGTGGCCCAAAAGAAAAAAACCCAAAAAGAAAGAAACAATTTTCATTATCAGCCAACACTTTCACCACCACTCATACATAATCACTGTCTTTGCAGAGGCACCCAGATACAACAGTTTAGGTCATTCCAAACTGCTAATATCCCAAACCCCTCCTTTAATCCTTTGACTCTCGGTATCGTGTTTTTGACGTATTAATATGCCAAAATTCTAGCAACTTCAAATCAAGCGAGAGAAAGCTGGTAGGCCTACATGTGAGAGAATGGGTCTGTGTGGTCAGTGTGAGTAGTATAAAAAAAATCCTGCAGCACACAATGCATAACGAGAAAAAAAAACTGCGACCGTGTTTTTGGATTAAAACACTGAATTTGAGGTGTATTTTCGTATAGTATTTATGGTTGTATTCTAGTTTTCTTGGTCTCGTTTGATAGAATGGAAGGTATATTACAGAAAGAGATGATTTTCATTGGTTTCATGATGAAAAGGACCTTGAAATTGAGATCAAAATACATGTACTGGAAATGTTCAATTTTTGCCAATGTTCAAGAGTAAACAAATGAGGTCATCGTCCAATACGTGTTCAACTGGCCGGTCTAATACGCAGTCATGAATGGCTTGACATTACTTATATAATTATTACAATAATGCAGTAGTCTGCATAACAGTAAATCTTCTATTTTTTTGTGAATAAAAATTCAAAATAGAAAACAAGAGTAATATAAGAGGGGCTTGGAGACATGACTGATGAACAGAGAAAATGTTATTTTAGTGCCAGGAATGTCTGCATCATTTATTCTGGACCCTATTTTGAAATTGGCATCATTTTTAATTTGTGTGAAATTGACCAGATTTTCAATTTCTGACCACTTGGGTAGTTGAAATCAGTAAATGGGCAGTTTCTTGTACTCGGTCAATAGAACAAATGGAGTTCTAAAGAAATAGCTATGAGCTTGGTCGACTGGAACAATGGAATTGGCCGAAAATAGGGCTCAAAGTGGGTGAAATCGCTGATGCGTATATATCGCTGAGATCGCTAACATCGCGAGAGTGTAATTTAAGTTTTTCATCAAATTTCGTACTTTTGGCGTCATTACCATTGGAAAAGATTCTCTATCATTTCATAAGAAAACATAATTTTTTTCTTTTTAAATTCTTCAACACTAGAGAGCAAGTTTGTGAGCAGGGGTCTCGACAGTCAAAGGGTTATGAAAGGGTTTGAATTCTAAAGGTTAGAAATACAGTGCTTGCACTCTGAGAGATGACTGAGGATGCTGCAGACTGGAGGCTTATCTGAATTGTGATCCTTGTGCAGTTCTAGAAATGGAGGTACAGAATGAATGATGAACGTGTGTCTTTAGGTCACTGTTCTTTGGTGGGAAATTGCCTGTGTAAAAGAAAATTTATTATGAAGAAAGAATTTATTATTACTTAGCTCTTGCACTAACAAGTACAAAATTTATCATAATTGATCCAGTGAGTACAAAATAAATCATAAGCAAAACTGTTACAGAAGATAAAATATTAAAAGATATCTTACCTTACAATATTTACTGACTGACTCAAAGTCATTTTCCTTCATAGCCTTCTTGGCTTCCCTCAGAGCATTCTTGAAATCTGCCATGCTGCTGCAAATTATGACCAATGTAAATCAGTGTGTACAAGAAACATCACAGAATTAATCTGTATATATGGAGTAAAAGAGGGCCACCTGCTATTTAATCTGGTTCTATTGCATTTGTTTTCAACAACTACACAGTAAAAATTTCCTCACTACTTCATTAATTAGTTCAATAACCTCTAATTCAATTAACTGTTTGGGTTTTAAATCTGCTACATACAAAATATCATTTGTAATTACACGCATGAAGGACCTGCCTAGTATGGGCCAACAGGCCTGCTGCAGTGTTCCTCCTTTCTTATGTTCTAATGTAATTACATGCTGAAGCTTTCCGCTTAGCAAGTCTATTTAGGTACAGGTCTATGTAAGTACAATTATCATACATAGTAAAGTATGTTGCAATAAGATCAGAGTAAACAGGTGATATCACAATATGCTGAATAACCACTGTGAAAAAGTAGTAGAATTTCAAGTTCTTACATTCTTTCTCATATTATTGAGAAACTGTAAAAATAAAGGATCAACATGAAGGCATATAAGGACAAGACAACACCTCATGGTTACCTTATAATGCCTGACTTTTTATGATGAAGTAAGTGAAACACAGTTTATATTCTACCCAAGCATTAAGAATTTAACTTGTCTAATGTATCTTAAACTCTTTCCAAATTTTATTACTATAAATGAATCCAATTTGTATAACCCAAAAGCAATATTCACATTATTTTCAAAAGTATTTTTTGTGAAATTTGATTCTATTATATTCCTCTCAACACTGGACTTGCTAGATACAACTTTCTCAGTCTTTTGAAAGTCAAGTGGATGGTTAGTCTCTCACATGAATAAACAGAGCATTAGAATCTTGTCCACTTCTAATGCTATATTTATGTTGTGTTAATCTTAGTTACACACTTTTACCAATCTGACCATAATAAACTCAGAAGAATTTATAATGAACTTAAAAACAAACTACAAAGAAAATTAGACAGTCTAATTGAAAACAGTGATTGGACAAAGCATCCTAATAACAACTTTGTAATTAACTTATCTGATGAAATATTAGATAAAAATACAACTGCTGCTCTAGGTTCTCGTTTAAGCTTTGCAAATTCAAAAAAGCTGTGTGGAAATTGCAAAAGCCTTCTGTGACTTAGAAAAATCCTCTGATTTATTCAGAAATGAAATTAATGTAAGTAAGGGGATGGTTTATAACTATGATAAAACAAAATACATATTCCCAATTACCCTCAAAGATTTTTTAGGTCTTATGAAAAACTTATTAATAATCAAAATCTGCATATTACTAAAGCAGATGAAATCAATACAATAGTAATTTTGAAAGAAAATGATTACCACGAGAAAATGAATAATCTTTTAAATGATACAGATACTTAATCAAAACTCAGAAAGAATTCCTAAGTCTGCTAACAGTAATTTTAATAAAACAATAAAATGATTATTGAAAGGCAAAGATGAATTAATTAAAAAATTCAGTTCACTAATCCATCTTTACCTTATATATATTAGGGATGTATCGGATGTGAAAATTTAGATATGGCGGATGCGGATGTGTATTCGGATGTCTTATTTACTTATTTTGCGGATGCGGATGCAAATGCGGATATCTGCTTGCAGTACAATTCGGATGCGGATGCGTATTGCGGATGTCACATCTTGACATCCTCCCGGATTCGGATGCAGATGCGAATTTTGCAGGATAGTCATAGAACACCATTTTTTTTTTACCGTATGACAAATATTCTTGAGTGAGGGACTGAACACACTGATTCCAGGCTGAGGGACTGATTACCTGAAACTCCTCTCCTTATGCCTTCCTGCTCTGTATTGGACTGATGAAGCCAGTGTGTGGCAAAACGTTTCTTCAATAAAGATTCCCTTATGTTGCATAAGTGTCTCAATTCTTCAAGCTGTCAGTTTCCAAACCATTTATCACATGCTTATTTGTATTTAACACCATTTCAATAATTTCACCATCACTCAAGGAATGCACAACAGGTGGAGTTATGTAGAGATGACTGATGCTACACACAAAAGAAATAAGTAACACTGCAGCAAGCCTACTGGCCCATGCGAGGCAGGTCCAATTCTCCCACCTTGGGTAATTTCAAATTTAGGTTGGATAAATACAAGAGTGAGAGGGGTTGGATTTGAGTGGGACTTGCACGCAAGTAAATAGAATTATCAAATCTGTCCATCACCCTTGAAGTCATAGATTTAAGGTTGTCAGTCCCTCAGCCTGGAGAAGTTCACTTCCATAGTCAGGAACTATCTGAAGATCAAGCGACAGTGTTGAGGATGAATGGTTCAGAGAACCGACACGTTGATAAATTAGACACATGTGCAACTCTTGGGTATCTTTATTGAGGAAACGTTTTGCCACACAGTGGCTTCATCAGTCCATAGAAAGGAGAATCGTGAAAAGCATTTCCTCAATAAAGATACCCACGAGTTGCACATGTGCCTAATTTATCACAGTGTTGAGACTTAAATACTGTTGGAAGGAGAGGTGCAGAGTTGTAATAGTGAGAATGTAGCCACTGAGAGGTCACGTCCCTCTCAGATCAAACAATTATCACTTGAAAAAGTTGTCCAAGGTATTTTCTGTACCAAGATGCCATTGTGTTGCAGTGTCTGACAGAGTGAATATCAAAATGGTATACAATACCGACAGGTTGGTAGGTAAGACACATAGGCAACTTTATTCCGAAACGTTTCGCCTACACAGTAGGCTTCTTCAGTCGAGTACACAAAGTAGGCAGGAACAGTAGCAATGTGAAGACGATGTAATCAGTCCATCACTCTTGAAGTCGTAGATTTGAGGTTGTCAGTCCCTCAGCCTAGAGTAGTTCAGTTCCATAGCTTGATCTTCAAATACAGTGGACCCCCGGTTTACGATCAGCTCCCAATGCGACCAATTATGCAAGTGTATTTACGTAAGTGCGTTTGTATGTGTATGTTTGGGGGTCTGAAATGGACTAATCTAATTCACAATATTCCTTAGGGGAACAAATTCGGTCAGTACTGGCACCTGAACATACTTCTGGAATGAAATAATATCGCAAACCGGGGGTCCACTGTAGTTCCACACTATGGAACTGAACTTCTCCAGGCTGAGGGACTGACAACCTCAAATCTACGACTTCAAGGGTGATGGACTGATTACATCATCTTCACATCGCTACTGCTCCTGCCTACTTTCTGTATTCGACTGAAGAAGCCTACTGTGTAGACGAAACGTTTTGGAATAAAGTTGCCTAACTGTTGCCTATGTGTCTTACCTACCAACCTGGAAATATAAACACACATGCAGTATATTGTGATCCTTTATTGACAACGATTCGCCCACACAGTGGGCTTTTTCAAGTCACAAACAGATTTACCTGGGGTGGAAGGTACGCGAATATTTATAGTCAGGTTCAGAATGGTGGGTCAGGTGGAGATTGCTGCATCTGATGATCTACCGAGTGGGGTTATAGTCTGAAATCTTGGGTAGCTTGGAAGGGAGATTGGATAAGTTTATGAGCAGACTTTCTGCAGTGTTCCTCCATTCATATGTTCTTATGTGGGACAGCGATGAAGAAGTTTCTTGGCAAGTGGTTCAGCTATGTTATAGAAGCCATTGTTCTGGTTGAAGTTGTTGGATATAGAGATAAATAAATATAGGATCACATTATAATGCATATGTTTATATTACCATTGTGTCGGTATTTTATACCATTTATTTCCACCTACCAACCTGTCAGTATTGTATACCATTTTGATATTCACACAGAATTATCAAAGCTTATTATGATCGAGGCTTGAACCTTAGGTAGCTGTAAAGAGAGATTGGACAAATATACGAGTGGGAGGGTGACGAGTTTGATTGGTGTCGTGGGTGCGGGAGTGAATTCTTGAGTAGCTTTGGGTAGTGGTGGTTTTGATAAGGACCTGCCTTGTATGGGCCAGTAGGCCTTCTGCAGTGTTCCTCCTTTCTTATGTTCTTATGAAACTACCTTGGGTAGTTTCAAATTTAGGTTGGATAAGTACATGAGGGAGAGGGGTTGGATTTGAGCAGGACGTGCACATGAGTAAATGGAATTGTCTAGGCTTATTGCTTAGGCAGCGTTTATTCTGTTAGTGGGTTGGATTTGTGAAAGACCTGCCTAGTATGGGGCAACAGGCCTACTGTTGGGAAATAAACATGTAAGCTCTGTAATTTAGGTTATAATATCCGCCACATCCTCTTTGTTTGGCGCGGGTGCGGATGCAAATGCGGATTTATATTGAATCGTGATTGCGGATACCTCATTTAGAAAAAACAAGGATGCGGATGCGGATGTAAAAATTTGTGCGGATGTTCCGGGGATGCGGATACGGATATCCGATACAGCCCTAATATATATGGATTAATAAAAACACACAAACCAGGTAATCCAGCCAGACCCTCCACAGGATCAGTTTAACATAAATTATCTAAATGGTTAGTAGAAATTTTGAGCCTAATTTGGAAAAAATTCTAATTTTAATGTTAAAAACAACACAGATTTAGTGGACAAATTAAGCACCTTAACTGATTTAAATGATTTCAACATACAGTGGACCCCAGCCTAACGATCAGCTCCCAACTCGACCAATTATGTAAGTGTATTTTTGCAAGTGCTTTTGTAGGTGTATTTTTGGGGTCTGAAACGGACTAATCTAATTCACAATATTCCTTATGGGAACAAATTCGGTCTATAACGGCACCCAAACAGACTTTTGGATTGAAATAATATCGTTAGGTGGGGGTCCACTGTAGTTAGTTTTGAAGTTACTTCTTTATTTACAAAAGTTCCACCTGATGATTTATTAAGTTTCCTATCTTAAGAACTTATTAATTACGATTTACCATTGCCAGTACCTACTACCATTAAATTTACTGAGCTTCATATTGTCGATGCAAAGTTTGTGTTTAATGACGAGTTTTACACTCAGAAGTTTGGTATCGCAATGGGAAATCCTCTC